ATAGCCGTACAGAATTTCGTTTTTTTTAGGGTAACCCCTGCTGGATCGTTCGTATTTTTAGGGTCAACCTGGTGACGAATTCTTTATCATCTTGGAAGGTGAAGCTAATGTCCTACAAAAACGAAGTGATGATGCACCATTTGATGTCGTTGGCCACCTTTCATCCTCAGATTATTTCGGTAAGATAATTGCAGTCTTGTCCGTAGCAGATGATGGGGCGTGTCGACGGTGTTCAACGAGCTGTCAGCTTTTCCTGCACTAGTTGCTGAAGAAGGGAAGGCATTGTTCACAGTCTGCAACCCGGACGAAACAGCGGTTCGCCGAAAAGCAGTCAATACGTATTGATCGGGGGATCGCCAACCGCTCTAGAGAAACGCCGCTGCGGTTGGGCGGTCCGGCGAAAAGCCATAGATGCGTATCGATTTCGCTGGCTTCGCGCTAGGAAAAATCCCAGGGCGGTCGGGCGAGCGTTTTTCGCCCAAACCGCCCCGCCGAACCGCCCATCGATACGTATTGTAAGCTTTTCGCCAAAGCGTTTCTCTAGAGAAACACTGGGTCGCAGAGTGTGAACAATGTCTAAGCGACAAATACTGGTAAAAAACGACTGATGCGATCAATATGACTCAGTCTTATCGCTTGGCGAAGGAACAGAAAAGAAAAAAAGAACGGGTTAGGCGCAAGTGCAGCGACACGCCCCATCATCCGCAGCGAACAAGCTTATAGCTTTTCCATTTCACTACTGCTCATTAACGATACGATTCAGTCTTATCGCTTGGCGAAAGAATATAAAAGAACGGGTTGGTGCGGCGCCAAAGGCAGCGACATACCCCATCATCCGCAGCAAACAAGCCTATAGCTTTTCCATTTCATATTATTGCGCATTCACGAGTATGGATATTGCTAGCACTTAAGTGTTTCAATTTAGGTGAGATTGCCCTGCTTCTGGATCGCCCTCGTGCTGCCACAGTGGTTGCCAAGACCCCGCTGAAGTGCATCAAGCTCGATCGTGCCCGTTTCGAGCGTGTCATGGGTCCCGTTCGTGAGATCCTCAAACGTGATGTGTCTAACTACAACTCCTATGTTAAGCTGATGACCTAAATTTAGTCATCGGTCACTCGATAATGTGGCTGATGTTTAGCTCCCCATCCTCTTCTAGTCCTTAATGCCAGACTTGCACGATTTCTAGCCATGTAACTGAATGGACCATCTCCATCCGCTAACCTGGGAAGGTTCATCGAATACTGTTTGGGTTAGAGTAAAGTAGCGTTTAATTAGTTTGCGCCTTCTTTTGTTTTTTGATTTTTTATTTTCACAAAGGTTTTTCTTTACACATTTGTGTTCTGTAGTGCTGCGCAAGCTCATTTCATCCCTAATATTCTAGAATTCTATTCGAGTGAGAGTTCCAGACATTAATTACGTAGACTCGAATGATTGATGTTCCACTTTAATATACTGTAATGTTTCTGGTCACCGTATATGTATTATGTAATGCTTATTTGTTGTGTCTGTCTCGTTTGTGATTTTATGAGGCGTTTGTTCCCCCAATAAAAGTTCGCCAAACAGACCCGAACACCTAGCTTTACTGTTGTCACATCATTATGCCCCCCCCCTCCCAACCCCACATCCCCGTAATCCCCTGAGTAGTCAGTCCTCTACTGCTCCAAGTCGTTCCCTCATTTGATCCCCTCCCCATATAATCATGTCAGCTCTCTCTTCACGTCATCCAGACAAGACACCTGATTTTTGACACCTTTTTATTTTGCGGAACGTAATGGTACACGTTGATTTCTATTTATCCGTCTGTTTCATTGTAGATGTATATTTAATCAACACTTTATCCGCCTACCAGACGTTATGTTTCTTCTTAAGTCATTCAGTCAGTTGATTGTAAAATTTAATTGAACATTCTATAAATGTTCCTGTATCGAGATACAGAATAAACGAGCATTATTTCGACACTTTTCCCTCTCCAGGTCAGCTTTGGTCAGAACCAACCCAATGGCTCGATCTGTGGAAACTGTGTAGCCCACGAGGACGAGCCTACTGCTTGAAACTACAGAAATGAGTCTCAAAGACAATACTCGCGACAATGTGTAACAGTTAGCAGGTGCTCACTTCTGAACCAGTGGACCATCGGAGACTCATCAGTGGAGAAAGAAGAGGAAAAAAGGTTTGGCAACGCCCTGAACAGAGGCCTCCTGCGGTGGAGCTGATGCCTTGGATGAGTTTGTCGGACGTCATACAAGGCCCACCAGCAGGATTCGTCGTACAACCAATTACCGGCAAGAGCACTGCGTGGAGCCTATGGCAGCGTTCAGGCTTCGCGACGACGGCGTTTGCCGCGCGTTCGCGGGATTCGATTCGGCGGGCGAGGGGAAGGACAAGAAAGCAGAAAAGAAGCAAAAAGTTCACCGAAAATGGGCTGTAAGTTAGCATCCGCCTAGCTGGTTTTTGCATTGGAGCGCGATCGAACCAGTCGCGCTACACAACCGGTCGCTACCACCAGCGAAGCAATCGATCGCCCAAACGCGCGGCCAAAGCACCGCCGTGGCGAAGTCTGAACGGTGCCTATGACGCTCTGCTAATGCCGTTTGGTCTCCAGCCTTTTCGCACCGAGCTCATTTCCGATCTTTTGCACCAAAAGTTGTACACTGGTGATTTTAACAGCAGCAGCGCACATCGCGTTGGGATTCCGCAACAGAGGGAGGTTGTATTCGAGTTGAGAAAAATGCTTCTTGCTTGCTGGTTTTTCTTGTTCCAGGGGCGATGTAAAAGGGGCGGGGGGGGGGTGGGAGGATCGTATTTATCTTCTGGCCTTCTGAGGGAAGACATTGGGGAGATCATTGACTTTTCATGGTTTTTCCTGTTTCATGTGTACTATTTCCGCAGTTGGCAAAAATGGACATGCAGCTCCAGTCTGTGCCTGCCGCCCAAAAAAAAAACAGCGACAAATCACGATGAGCGCCCCTGTGTCAGGTGTGGGGAGAATTCGTTGGAACGGTGGTTTAGCTGGGGTGCTACCACTTCAATTTTCGGCAGATGAAGCTTCCTCCTCATCCGATGTATGGGTCGCGAAAGTGGGACAGTCTCTTAGCTTGGGGGCTGAAGTACCTGCACAAAGGAGAACCAACCATGATTGCCTTTAAATACGATCCAATTGTTGAGGGTTCCACAATGACGTGCGCCAGTTGCACGGAACTTTTCAAAAGTATTTATTTCTGTATCTGCGACAGTTCTGAAGCAATTTTGCGGGTCGCTCAGTGAACCTTTGAAGGAAAGGATGGTATGAGGTGAAAGAGGAGTTGAAGGACTTCACGGTTGGTAGATACTGACAAGGGAATGGTTTGAAGTTCCCATGGAACTTCCAATGGAGACCTAAGGTACATCGATAGAGCCTCGAATGCTGATTACGAGTATGCAGATTAAAAGTGCTACGGGGACCTCCCAGACGAGATCTGGATGGTCAAAGTTTACGAAATGTCAGTTTTGGCTCGCAAGCGCTGCTGAGCGATAGTTCGGCAGTGCCACCGTGGCCTAGTGGGAACGTTTCGCTTTGAAGTCAGACGCACGTGGGTTTGCATCCGGTTGGAGCAAAGATTTTTGCATCGGTCCGTATAAGAGCTTTTACTCTAATTTTCGAAATTCTTCCGAATTTACGGCCCAGCAGGGCAAGTAGATCAAGTACATCAAGTATACGACGTACTCGATCTAGTATGGATTTGGTCATATCTGCCCTCTCTGAACATATTACCCATCCGACAATTCAAAGTTTTGCCCAGAATCGCAATTTGGCCAGACGAGCGTTTTTTCGTCGAAGGATGTGATATTCGTGTTCAGGGGTCGAAATCTCCCATGAACGAGTTTCTCGCCAATTAGAAACAAAGTAAAACAAACATTGGGGAAAGGAATACACTCCAAAGTACAGATGATCCGTTTCGCCCGTTATCGGAGACGAATCATGTCTTGCCAACCCAGGGCTCTTCATTGCGATAGGGTTGACGACATGTAAATTACATAGGGGAAGGAGTTAAGAAATAGGATAAAACGAGAAAAAATGTAAAAAATGACATGCAAAATTCATGCAATAAAGATGAGAAGGAATTGTACAGGAAAAATGAAAGAAGGATATAACAGGTGTGAGTACTAAATACGTGTAAGAGGAAGAAAAATGGATTGTTGTAGATGGGCTAAACAAACTAAGGGAATATTGAGTAAAAGACACTGTCGCAGCGGATTATAGAAAGTTAAATCAAATTGTAATGGTAAAAGGAGAACTAGTGTTGAAGACCGCTGCCAATGAGACCGGATGCAAACCCGCGTTCATTTGATTTGAAAGTGAGACCGTTACCACAAGGCCACGGTGGCACAGCCGAGACATCGATCAGCAGCGCTTACGAGCCAAAACTGATTTTTGCAAACTTTGACCACCCAGATCTCGTCTGGGAGGTCCCCGTAGCACTTTTAATCTGCATATTCGTAATCAGCATTCGAGGCTCTATCGATGTACCTAGGTCTCCATTCAAAGTTCCATGGGAAGTTCAAACCATTCCCTTGTGAGGCCATAAAACGGGGCACCGAATGGAATTGTGCGATATGATCAATACCTTTCCTTGCCACTTACTGAGAGGTAAGGAAGGAAGGACTCTCGAGGGGCTATCTTTCCTTTAGCCAAAGGTGAAGATTTTGATGGAATCCATAGTGTCGACGTTTACGACGAGTGTTTTTTATGAGCTCAAATGGTGGAGTTCAAAGTTCGCGATCTGGGTGATCTGGCAAGATCGTTGAAGAAGTGATGAGTGTTGATCACCTGATTTCGTGATAAATGGTATTCACCCTCAAAAAGCATGCGACATTACTGCTTCAGTCGCGTGATTTAGAAATTCTTATGGTGAAACGGTCAAATTACACATGCAGGTTAGTAGTTGTTCACGAAGATATGCATTCTTTCAATCGACACCTTTTTCAACGTTCTTAGAGAAGGCGGGGGAAACTGGGATAAGGAAGGCATCTATACTACAAATCACACCCCCGAGAGTCATTCTGCCCGGAGCGTCCGGATAAGTGGACACTGAACTTTGTAGTGCGCGCCGGGAGCGAAGTGCTTTTTAGCCCTACCCCCTTCAGCGTGTGAAGGGGGAGAAAATGGGTCCAAGATGGAGCTCCGTGAGTATTAGCGTACTGTGCTCTAGCTTCAGACGTGCCCGGGATCCCACTGCCCCTGACGATCGAGTGATCGGGGTCGCTTCATGAAAAAAAGTTGTCCAAAAGTGAGACTGTTACTTTTTTCTAGTGGCAGAGTAAAAGCAGAGATAGATGCTCCACCCCTATTTACAGAGAAGCATCTCAGGAATAACTTACCCAGGATTTTCCATGCACCCTGTCTTCCTGCGCGACGTAGACTTTCATGGAGCCTGCCGAGAGCGCAGTGTCTTCTTAGCCCCCCCCCTCCCCGTATCGTTTGAAGGCTTGGAAGTTCGAGATTCGGTGAATCCAGGAGTGGTATGTACTAGTTCCAGGGTTCTTTCGTGAGAAATGGCGGCACACACGGCACGCCTGCTGCTGGGGACACTTCTTGCAAAAAGCGACTACTCCTCAAAAGTCCTTCCTCTGATACGACTCCCCTCCCCCATCTCCCACCTTCTCCCACTTCCCTACCACTTTTTGGGAGCTTTTTCCCAAAACTATCCCATTTTGCTGAAAAAAGACTGCCGTGGAGCGGTACAGCAGGGGGGTTGTCGTGGCGGAGGAGAAAGCGCCTGTGAAACGGGAAACGACAGAAACCAAGGAAAGCGAACAATTGAGACGTCGGCGACTTGTCAAGGCAAATGAACGGCTGTGTACAAGTTCCACTGACAGCTCGAAATTGTCAGTGGAACTTGTATGACCTGGGAGGCTTGAATTCAAAAAAGTGGTGAAGCGCTGGAGGTAAAGGCAGCTCACGGAGGTGAATCGCAGGCGTCTAGCCACCGTGGAGTGATCTTGTGCATAGTGTGTACCTCCAAGTGCCTGGCTACCTGGCTCCGCCATCCAGAGCTGTGCCCTGATTTGGCCAGGAAGGTCAGCAGGTCGACCCGGCCATTTGCAACAAAGTGTATACGGGTACGGTGTACACGGGTATATGTACGGGTCCTGAGATGGTGATTCGAAATGTATCTTCGGAATTTGCGAGACTACTTTCTGAACACGGAGTATGGAAATTTTCTTAGTCTTGAAGACTTCAAGCCCATCCCTTTCGCGCTGACGCGGAAGGATTGGGCCCGAGGCTATCAAGGCTGAGTAAAATGCGTTAGCGCGGAAGGGTTGGACTTGTAGAGAGCGACTCAACCATTTCCACTGTGTCCAGAAGGACAAATAAGGGAACACTTCACTGCAAACCAGGAAGATTAACGGGTAAGTTGACGCTTTGACTTAAACTGGGGAGCGCGAACTGTACCATCAGGAGGTATTTTAGTTGCTTTCATCCAGCAATATTCACAATCGTCCGTGCTTTATTCGTTGAATTTCCGATGTTCATGGTTATTGCATAGATTTTTATTTCATTTATAATTTTTATATTTTCATTTGATTTATAAGACTGCAATACAATAAACTATACAAGAGCTTCATTTCCATATCGAACAGCGGCAAGTAAGGCGCTTCTCCTGCGTACATAGAGTCGTCCTTTGTTCCATGGACTTTGTATCCGACATAGTGCAAAATCGTCTTTCAGTCGGCGCTCTCTTGTTCCTACGACGACCACCAGACAAAAATTGCTTGACTCATTGGCTGCTTTAGTGACATCCCTCGAAGAAGGGGAATTTTTGGATACTTCCTCCAACACGAGTTTCACAACCTGAACTTAGCTGTTTTTTTGGAGTTCTACGGGTATCGGTAGATGTCCTGGGTCTGTGATCAATTTGCACGCTTGATGTGTCCACAGCAAGGAAATTAATATGTAAACAAGTTGTATCTACTCGAAGGTGGGCGCTTCAATCCAGCGTGTTCAGCAAAGCTCTTGGAGTAACTACGATTTATCTGCGTTCATACTTTGCGGCAGCGTCTACCAGCCTCTATCAGCGTCCATCAGCGACCACGAGCGTTCCGAGTGTCCGGCAGCGTCAGCGACTAAAAAAGCATAGATATCGGTTTATCGTCTGCCAGCGTCTACCAGAAGTGGCGCGTGTAGAGGGCTAGGAAAGTACAGGTATCGATTTTGCTCTGCCAGCGTCTGGCAGCGTCTACCAGGTTACATCAGCGATCGGGAGTGGAGAGTATGGGGAAGTAGGAGGGTAGCAAACAGCTGGATTAGGCGTCGTGAAATTGCGGCGTGTGCAACCGCACCGTACAACTACACTACACCGTACATTAAATTGCATAATTCTGTGCTTTAGCAGTTGTGCGATGCGGTTGCACACGCCGCAATTTCACGACGCCTAATCCAGCTGTTTGCTACCCTCCTACTTCCCCATACTCTCTACTCCCGGTCGCTGGTGAACGCTGGTGGACGCTGGCAGACGCTAGATCGATATCTATACTTTCCTAGTCGCTGACGCTGCCGGACGCTCAGAAACGCTAGTGGTCGCTAGAGGGCGCTTCCCAAAGTATGCAGCCAGGGACAAAGACGCCAGCTGAGTGAACAAGTGCAAGTGGGAATCTTTCTCCGGAGGGGTCAAATTCATACAAACGGTACAACCTAGGGCAGCAAGTGCGTGGCTGGGAAAGCGGCAAAGAAGGGACAAAGGAGAAGGTGACACGCACCACGCACGTGTAACAGAAAAGAGCGACATGGAAAACGCAGTCACGCCCCTTCCTACTCCCTGGTATGGCGCACATATCTGTGTTCCTGTTGCTCCAAGACATGTTTATGACTGATCAACTTCTTAGTGTAAAATGAATATTTTTTCCAACAGAAATATTATGTTAGATTGAAAAAATGTCCGTTTTTAAGGGTATCGGTGTAATTGACGTAAATGTTCTTTGAAGTATGAAACTGGTAAGGACTTGAACCTCTGTGCTAGTGGTGTTCTGCTGAATGGAAAGATGGATCGGTGTCGCATTGTGTGATTCACAATCGTACGCTGTATAAACGGATATCATTTCATTTGTGCATGGCTGATCTTCCTGATATGACCAGCCATTGGGACTGTTTTCCCTGATGTTGTCGTGTTCTCTTGTACCTCGCTCGTACAGGCTAAATAGCAGCTTTTACTGATTGACCATAAAGTACAGGTAAGATATGTTCGCCGTCATATGTACCAATTGAGATCAGCAGAATCTTGTTCGTCTTGTTTTTCGGAGCACTTGAGAGATCCTTTTTGTAGCTTGCTAGAGAAGTTTTCGTCCTGAAATGATCCAAATCATCGTTAAATAAAGTTACCCTGAAATCTCCCTGATGAAGAAAAAATTTCAGAATCTAGCTTTTGATCTGGGCCATGTAAGCAGTTGGAGCCACTTTCAGGTGAGCAATACCAGCAGTGTTTGAGCAATTTGTGCACTATTCAACAGTACTACCCCAGTCATCCGAAAACAGGCCAGATTTTGACCGACTTTTCTCTAAAGTAACAGAATTGGCTGAAAGTTTGCTTCTAGGGGTAGTTCGATTCCTGAACACGAATGTCACATCCGCTTGCCTGAAGCTGCCTGGCACACGCGCCACAGATGCCGACACCAAAACACCTTAGATCACCAAATCCATTGGAAACTCCCCACGAGGTAGATTGGCCACCTGAACACGAAAATCACATTCGCTCTGCCCGAAAAAGCCAAAATTCCCTAGGTAGCCAAATCCGCTAAAAATCTGTATGCAGAGTTATTTGATATCCTGATTACAAATATGACAATCATTCTTAGCGCTGGCGCTAATGGAAGACACCACGAATCTGCGCTCTGCTAAGAGCTTAGCCCAGGAGGGAATCACTCCTTCTACCGGCTCACTCTTAGAAGAACGCTAAATAGCGATAGTAAAATGAATGTCATATTCGTGATCAGGGCATCAAACAACCCTATTATGCATGTTTTTATCGATTTTGATGAAAAAAGGTGTAGGCGCCAAATTGGCACCGAATGACGCTATATGGCGCCACGGGTAAAAACCAATGTCATGTTCGTGATCAAGGAATCGAAAACCCCAGCAAGCAAGTTAAAGCGATTTTTGAAAAGTGGTAGCGCCCAACTGGCGCCAAATGGCGCCAGTGTCGAAAACGACTGTCATAATGGCGATCAGGACATCGAATAATTCTTGGGGGCAAAGTTTCACCAGAAAATTCTTTCGAGTTATTTTAGGGCAGTAACACTTGAATAGGGCCGAATTTGAAAGGACTTGTCGCAGTATGTACTACGACAAGTGTACAGCCAGCTCTTCTTCAAGATTTACCTTGTCATAAACGTCTTCTCCTAAGAATCCTTCGTATACTGGCTGAGCGACAGGAGTAAGGAACTTGCTAAGCGCCAGCGCCATTCTTTGTGAGCTAAATGGAATACAAATTGAAATAATTGACCTGTTTATGACATTGCTATCCATAAAGTTCAATTTTGGCTCGGATAATTTTTTTTACTTCACGACACGAGCCACTGAGTTGCTCACTTGTCGAACCGCTGGGCCGCTGCAACCGCTACTTGATCACAGTTACGGGGAGAACTGGTTCCGAACTCAGCAACGGTCCAACGATTAGCCGTGGAGTGAAGCCAGTCAGGAAGCCAGTAAAAGTGAAATTACAAGAAAAAGGAAGGAGTCGCACCTTTCGCTGCTGTCATATCCAAACTTGATTCGCCTTTCCCTCGCTTCAGACGCAATCCGACTAATCCATCGAGATTTGTTCCAGATTTCATCGAGCTTTTTCTAAATTTGATTGGATTGATTTCAGCCGAGATGCTTGAAACATGAAGATGTGTATCTGAGTACTATGTAGGGCCAGACTGAAGAATGCACACTTGATAACGTTGCAGTCGGTCGGGGCGGATGGAATAAAGAATAAGCCCGCCCGCGGCGTTCCCACCAGGACACGCCTTCGTTGTGATGATCACAACAGCGAGGGGGCTTATTTCACCTCGGGGGAAGGGGCGGGTCGTAAGCGATTTATTATGGCTCATGTCCGTCGTTTTTCTCACTTTTTTCCTTGGTTAGCGTCGCGTTTTTTTGTCGTTTATTTTCGCAGATATTCGTTTTCGCTAGTTGTTTGTCCGCTGCTGATCTGGTCCGCTACTACCAGATGAGCAGCAGAAAACAAAAGGAGGGGGGGGGAGTGTCGAAATCTTTTTAGAAGGGGGAGGGGTCTAACTAGCAGAAATTGATCACAACGCGATGTTGTGCCCTGATCCCCACAGGAAACGAGCGAGAGAATCGCAATTTGCCGCTCCGTCGCGCGCGGCGATGAACGCGGCGTTTTCCTAACTCTTGTTAGCCTGTCGATTGCAGCACCGGACTATATGTAGACCCCGTCATCGTAGACATTCATGACTATTTTGGTTCTGAATTGCCTGTTGTCGCCATCTACTACCAGGAACCATCGTCATTTGTTGTAATTGTTGTAATTGTTTATTACACAGGTAATCCTGTGTGGTGTAAGTAAGGAAAAAAAAATCGATAACGCAAAACCAAAACCAAATAAACAGCAAAACAGCTACTAGAACTTAATGCGTATGAATAAAACCACTACCAAAATTCGAGAGCGTGAAAAAAACTAGTATAAAACTGCCATGAAGCTCAAGAGAGGAAAACAATGAATACAAGTAAAACGAACTGTGCTTGAAAAGGTATTATGATGTGAGATGTTTGTCTAAAGCAGCCTTGAAAACGCTTAGTTTGTTCGTGGTTACTCCCAAGCGTACCAGTCTGTTATACTCTGGGGCAGTCCTGTTAACAAAGAAGTGGTGCCTGATGTTAGTCTTAGCTCGACGAGTGCTCAGCTTCAAATTACGATTCTCTTGTCACATACCCGGTCCCCACCACTGGTCGTTTACTCCCTAGATCGATCACTAAGCGATCACTAATGGTAGAGCAAGGCCGGTAGGGGCGGGCTCATCCCGCGCCTATTGCCGACGAACTGCGACGTTATCATAAATATTCAATGATTGTCTAAGAGTATTTCATCCTTGGCCGAACCTGAAATCCGCAAATGCCTTCGTAGAGAGTTTTGTAAACTCGTATATCGTTTTCCAACAAACTTCTCCTCTGTAGGTATTGAGTGATCTAAAGCTGCTGCTGTTACTACATGGAAATAAAAACACACGGTTCGGAATAGAGCTGTTATCGCTAATATTGATTACCATGAAGTAGTGCTCCAGAAATATGGCAAGACGACAGTAGGTAATAAAGAAATCTGGCTGATAGGCAGACTGATGAACTGTAATTGATTGGTTTTTCGAATCTTCTAATGCCATTGAAGCATTACTAGAAAGTTTCAAAACTTACTGATCTCGAAAGCAGCGATTGGAAGGGTGTCACATGCACGGTGAAGCAGCGGTTGGACCATTTGAGAAAGTCCTGATGGCGCCGAACACACGTCATCAGGTCTAGGGAGGATCTTTAACAAGTAATTATAACACCATAGTGTTATTCACCAGATTATAATAGTAGTCATCAGCAATAAGTGACAGTGTTCGACATCGAATACAGTGCTATTAGAGGGTAGTACGGGGCGCAGTTGCAGTGGCGTAGAGGGTCCAGACAGAAAAGAGGCAAAGACGTACAGTCCTCATCACTTGCGGACCGGTGGGGCGTGGCAGTGCGGCTGCGTTTGGTGCGGTTTGGCAAATCGTTCTGCACCAGTTTTTGAAGCGGACAATGCATTACTGTATTATATCCTTCGTATTACTCGTTTTCTACCACTTTTTGTCGCATACGCGTTGCAACAAAAAAGGCTGAGAACGGCTTCAACAGTGTGCGCACTCCTTCTGGCTGACAGGAGGGAGAGACGGTGGAGCAACAGAGCTAGAAGCGTGAACGCCGAACAAAAGCTAAATATACGGTATGAGATGCTACGATGGTATTGATAGGATTCGGAAATGACTCCAAGATTGTCGTCCCAGCCGTAAAAAAACTTGAAGAGCCATTGCGATCTCTTCCCCCCCCCCCAAATAAGGCCCATTTCGTCGACGATTCTGAGTTGTGTGCGCATATGGGAAGGCAATGTATTGAAGGCAGTTGGCACGATGGTTTCCTACTTAGCCTAAAATGCTAGTAGGGCGCTGTATAGTGGGGAAATGGCGAAAGAACGGAGTGAAACGGTCAAAATCCTGCGAAGAAAAAGCCTCCGTTCTCAGTGACTTGTAAATCGATTTCGGACGAGTTTCCCGTAGGCATCTTACCAATCACCGCTACCGAAGATACGGCTGCATATGTGTACCCATGTATGCATGCAGCATCACGGCCGCTTCATACCAATCCCTTCGCTTCATAATTTGCTTAGCAAATGAATGAAATACCAGCGTCAGGAAACGCCGGGGTTTCGCCGGGTCCATTTGTGGGCGGGCGGGCGTGGCGGGCGTTTGGGACGTAAAGTTGTGGCTTGATAGGGCCCTTATAAGGGCACCTTCCTCGGGAAACCGCTATGCAGCGCCTGCCCAGGGTCGCGGAATTCTATCCTGCCAGGAGTATTGATCCTAGTCGTCTTGGGGATTTATCGTGCCAACTGCTTTTGAGACAATCTTGAGGCTGGTGGGCGTGGCAAGAGGTGCTGTACCTAATAGACGAGTTGCCCCGCACGGATTTGGTGTATGGGTGTTGGAGAGACTAGAAAAGCCGATGCCGCTCATTAGGGAGTACGGTATCTCTGATTTTCGAGAGTTCCTGCTCCAATTGTCAAGCGAAACACATCGAGAATTCGCTGGGCAAATTTCATCGCGCGACCACGACCAATCACGACTGTCTTGCCCGTCTCATATACGAAAGTAGCAGAGTGGAGGAGTTGAGAGGTCAGACAGTGAAGGGCAAACGAGCACGCCAAGAAGGGCAGGGGGGGGAGGAGGCTGCACTCTTCGCACCTGCGGTGGCCGTCCAAAGCCACAAGGCTTCGCTCATACTCCGCGGCGGGGTCCACAAGCGACCATTAGCGTTTCAAGCGTCACAGACTAGGAAAATATAGATATGGATCTAGCGTCTGCCAGCGCTACCAGCGTGTGCCATCATCCACCAGCATTGACCAGCGACTGGGAGGAGATAGTATGGGGAAGTAGGAGGGTAGCAAACAGCTGGATTAGGCGTCGTGAAATTGCGGCGTGTGCAACCGCACCGTACAACTGCACTACACCATACATTACATTGCATAACTCTTGGCTTTAGCAGTTGTGCGAAACGGTTGCACACGTCCCACACACGACTCATAATCCAGCTGTTCGCTACCTTCTAACCTCCCCATACTCTTTACACCAGGTCGCTGATGAACGGTGGAGGACGCTGGTAGACGCTGGCAGACACCAGGTCGATACCTATACAGGAAGCCAAGAAGTCACTTTTTTCCTTGGCTTTCGAGGCGCTATAAGTTACACTTTATCAAATTCTGATCGGACATTTCTACCACCATATTAAGAGCATATCAAATACTATCATGATACTCCGCCACAGCCTTCTGGAGGAGCGCCATCGAGAGATTCTGCCACGCGACCGTGAGTGGGTACCTGAGTTCAGCGAGATAGTTGATTTCTCCGCCACTGTAGACCACCCTGTTGAGCTCCGCCCGAACCGGGTAATTGAGGGAGGGTTTAGGTCAGGTGACCTACTTAGATATTCCATCTTCTTCAGGTACTCAACGTCCCTTCCATTCCAAGTAGGCGAGAGTTTTTCCAACGCCCTTCGATTCCATGTGGTGGCACCCAATGCTGTAGCAGTACAAAGTTTCCAAGAAGGTACGGGCGACGACATGTAGGGAGGATATTCTTCTCGAGTTGCTCGATGTAACCGCCAGCGCTCACCTTCAGTCCGGGGTCCACGAAGAAAATATCGGTCTTTCCATTCCAGGTACGTCCGGTCCATACCATCAACCCGCGCCTTGGCGACTGCGGTGAAGATGATGTCCTAGACCGTAGCGACGTTGTCGGAGCTGCTCGATGTTGGAGGTCTTCCAGATCGAGACTGGTCTCCAGGTAGCTATCCATGGGTGACTCCATACTAGAAGTTTCGCAGCTGTTTGGAGGTGACATGAATTCCAAAGGTCTTCTCCAGTCAGGCTGCGACTGGAGATGACTTCATATTTTGGTGTACATGAAGGTGATGGGCGAGAGCCAGCTCCTGCTTATCGAGGAACATCTTGGGTATCTTCCGCCCTACTCGTATCCACGTCCTCTGTCTGGGCTGCGAAAACTTTGCTGATATGTGACTCGGTCGAAGTGACTTTTTTTGGTGCCCCCCCCCTTATAATCACGAATTTCGTTCTCAAGCAAATTCCAGGGTTAACTCTCGTTCAGTGCTGGGGTATGCTTTGTTTGATTTCTGACCGTTTTTAAGCAAACGAATTGTAACTAACCAATATAATGGAGATAGTGTCATTAGGTTTCAATATTTCAGCACGATATAACCGATGTCCCGGCACAATATCCGAATCAATATCGAGATCACGGAATAGCGTATGGATAGCAGTCGAGACCGCCGTTTGAAATTCAATCTGATTGGAAGAAGGAGTGAAGCTTGGATCCACGTCCATTTCCTGAATTTCATTATTTACCGTTTAGTACACTTTACATCACCACAATTGTCGGGTCGCAATCAGCGGCTCGCACCTGCGGCGTTTCCATCATTGGTTGCTCCCTCCCTAAATCGATCTTTACCCGATCGCCATTGGTAGAGCAACGAGGCCGAACGCCCATTTGGACCGCGTTGCACAGCCGCCCTCCGACAGTCCGCAATGATGAGGACTGTATGTGGTACATAATTACATAAAAGCCAAAAGTAGAATTACAACAGAAGGTTCAAGCCTTAAGCACTCCTTAGCGCTCCCAATATCCAGACCCAAAACCCCATATAGCTGGGATAAGTCTCCCTCCTTCCCAAAAGCATCCACATGCTCCACTCATACCTACACCTTTTCACTTAACTTCTTGAATCTTCCCCGCTGGTAGAATTGGTGGGCCAATACTTATACTTACCCTCTACTACCCTATACCGAAGTTAGTCTGTAAGGCTGTGTTTATACTTTGCGGCAGCGTAGCGTAGCGCTTCCAGCGTTTCACGAGCGTTTCACTAGCGTTTCGCTAGCGTTTGCCAGCGGCGGGGCTAGAGAGTATAGAAGAGTAGGAGAGTATTTTGTACTCTCCTACTCTTCTATACTCTCTAGCCCCGCCGCTGCAAACGCTAGCGAAACGCTAGTGAAACGCTCGTGAAACGCTGGGAGCGCTAGATCGATAGCTATGCTTCCCGTGCCCTCGCTACGCTAGCGTGCGCGACGCTGGGAACGCTAGATCGATATCTATCCTTTCCCCGACACTGCCGCTGGCGTACGCTGGAAGCGCTACGCTACGCTGCCGCAAAGTATAAACGCAGCCTGATGCTATTCAGGCTGTTCCTTACTGTCTAACAGGCCAATCTTGGACTCCCGAAGCCTACTATCCGCGCCACAGGCGTATAGGAGAAATCACCCAGGACCATCTGAGTCGTGAAAATGTGCTCCCAGGAAACTTCCACCTCTTATGAGCGGGGGGAGGGGGTGCGGCGTATTTACTTTTTGGGTCTTGTAGGAGTGGTTGTTGACATTCTCTGATTTTCTCCAATTCCCCCCCCCCCCTTCCGCTCGACGGCACAATCCGATGAGGTGGGACGGAAGGCCGGAAGGGGGGGGGGTCATACGATCCCTTGAAAAAAGTGGGGGTGTACTGATTTGACGAAAGTCCCAACCAATGATGTGCCCTGCAATATTTCTGTTGAGCACGTAAAAGTTATCCTGATAATAGGTCTTGAAGGATTCTTGCGATTTGAGTTGTTTTAATGGCGCACATGGCATGGCACTAGACATTTTCGGGTCAAACGGATGCCATGTTGCATGTATTGGAAGAAACTGGCTGGAGAAGCAATTTTCTAGCCAAGAGCACAGCGCCGTACCGCATTTATTCCTTTGATGCTTGCCCCGTATCACCTCCTATCAAGACACTGTTGATGTCCGAAAGAAAAACACAGAAAAACAGAACTCTCCCGTTGTGGAGAATCGAGGGAAGAGTTAGAAAGATACCTGTATATACTGCCATTCTTCTCCTGTAACGATAGGGTCATCGCGGACAAAGGCATACGGCAGAAATGACGGTAAGCTATTCTTGACAGCAACATGTATCGAATTTAAAGAACAGCATAATTTCATATAGCAAACATAAAGACCTCTGAAATATCAGTATTACTCATGAAAGCAACGCGAAGATGAGCTAGCGATTGCTTGCTCGAGCAGAGGCATCATGGGCTTCGCCATGTTTCAGTTTTCTCTTCCACTTACCAAGGCTGCGTTCATAGGCCACGTTCATGCTTTGCGGGAGCGTCTACTAGCATTTCGAGCGT